CCGGGGAAGGTAGCAAGCGGGCGAGCGCGCCCTCGCCCCAGCCCCGCGCCCCAGCCCCGCGCGGCGACGAAGGACCGGGAAGATGAACGGCGGAGGCAAAGCCGAGAAGGAGAACACCCCGAGCGAGGCCAACCTTCAGGAGGAGGAGGTACAGAGGGGGGCCGGCTGGGAGTCTCGGGGCGCACGGGGTGGGGGGTGCGCCAAGGGACGCGGCGTCCCGCGGGCTCGGGGCTGTGTCCACGCGCGTCCGCGTGCCTCCCATTGCATAACTTTTTGAGGACTTTCCCGAGACTTTTGTAAGTAGAATGCTCAGCTTTGTCTACCCGGGTTGTTGAAAGCGGAATCGAGAGCTGACTCTCGGGTGACCTCGGATGATTGGGATGGGGAGGGTCAAGATTTGGGTTCTGCGTCTGCTGCTGGAAATCGGAGGGAGGCATGGTCGAAGGAAAAAAAAAAAAACTCTGGGAAAGTTCTTGTTAAAAGCTACTTCCGACCCCAACTCCCCTCCCTCCCTTTCTGTGTTAAAAGTGCTGGGTGAAATATCTTCCTAGCTGAGACATTTTGGATTAATAGATAACTCATTAGCCGCATTCTTCTCCGATGAGTCGAAGACCCCCGCCGAACCTGGGCGAAGTGGATTGGGGGGTGGGGTGGGGTAGAATAACAAGGGCTAAAAGCTTTGGATTCCCCAAAGCAAAGGCGCACGGAGGATTTTCATAGGGAAATCACAACTTAATGTGGCACACTCGGGATGATGATTAAAAACAATTTGCACCTGTGGTGCGTTTCTTACCGAAAACACTCGAGTAATATGTGTGGATGGGGTGTGCATGGAACCTCCTGAGTTTGATCGGTTTTGTGGCGTCCTGTCCTGACTTAACTCCTGCAGGTGGGTTTATTTGGAGGTCCCAAGAATTGTATTTATCTTTTTAAAGGTCTCCTAGAATTTAATGAGCAGAAGCAGAAACTGCCCAACCCACTATAACGTACAAAGTGTTCTTACAGGTAAATCCCATCCTAATAAGGAGGGTGAATGCAACTCAAACTGACCCTAAAGCGGTTAGGATGGTGAGACTATTGAGACACCGGGTGCAAACTAAGTTACCGAGACCGAAACCAAACATAAGGGTTCCATCCATCCGCCCATCTCTCGGACCTATGTGAACTATTCCTCTGGTAAAATGGGAACTTTTTAAATGGGGAAGACAGAAGAGACCTAAATTTATGCAAAACAATGCCGAGTTTGATTTTACCACAGTTGTAGGGTGGTGCATCTAAGGGAATTGAGGGAAGCTGACAATTGCCTTCCCACCTGAAGAAATTGCCTCTTTTATAAGCAAGTATTACTTTTGGAAGTTCTGTTTATGCCGTTTTATGACAACAGCGCTGGGGAGCCAGCTGCGAGTCCCTGCTGCTCTTCACTCTGTTTCCTGACAAGTTAAACAGAAAAAAAAAAAATGCCCGCTTGCCTTTTGAGAAATTGCTGGGTTTCGAGCATGCTTTAGTGGACACAACAAGGTAACTCTTCAGATCAGCCCTACCCTTATCCCTGCTAAAAAGATGGATCCTATGAAACCATCTTTCTTCCTTCATCCGGTTCAGAAAAATTGCAACTGGGAAAAAGCTCATAACAACAATAAAAACACCAAAGTTTGGTCCTTTTAAAATGATTTTGGAACACAACAAAACCCCAGAGGTTTTTTTTTGTTTGTTTTTTTTAAGGTTTTGGTAGATAACAGTAGGCTTTTCTCCAAATCCCATACCCACTCACCTACAAATGATGACAAATCAGATTTTTCTCTTGATCCATCTTATCTGCAAACGTTTCCAGTGCTAAGGTGTGTGTGTCGTGTCCGTCCGTCCGTGTCCCCCCCCCCCCGTGATCACGTCCAGGAATGGACAATGTTGGAGCAGTCAGCTGCCTTATTGACCCTGCTGCACTGAGAGTGTTCCATGTCAGGTAGGAATGGCGTGTGATTCTGGGAGGTGTTTGTCTTTTTTAGCGAAATATTTGTTATTTAAGAAACAGGTGGAGTACAAAGATTGCAGAGCTCAGGCTGTTCACTAGTGGGAGTGTGTAAAACACACACACCGTGAGGAATGAGCCTTACTTGTTTGCCTTGTTTTCAGTACTAGGAAATGAACCCAGGACCGCAGAGGTGCCAGGCAGCGACTCTGTCACTAGCCACCTTATATGTTTTTGTTTAGAAATAGGGCTTCCCAAGTCCCACAGTCAGGCTTTGAACTTACATTCCTGCCTAAGAGTCCTGGACTTCAAGGCATTTGCCTTCACACCTGGCTAGCATAATAGAAATGCAGGGAAAGAAAATCGTGAGTGATCCAGGTAATTTTATCATAATTCTCTGTTCCTCATGTACATTTGGTTTCATTTGGTTTTTGAAAAATTCTAGGTCTTTTTTTTTTTTTTTAATAACCCTGAAAGCCACAAGTAAAACAAGTACAGTATTTCAGTATTTTGGTGAGTCCTGCTAATGTGCTTGTCATTATACAAAACCACAACACTGGACCCATTCCCTGCCCACCCAGGGGATCCACACTGCCCAGATGCATTAAAGCCTTGGAGTGGACTCTAGGAAGCAGAGCACACACACACACACACACACACACACACACACACACACACTTCTTGTATACATACATGAAGACAAGAGAAGAAAAATGTGCTTGCTGTAATTTCCGGTGGCTACTGAATCGAACTGGGAAAGTGAGTCCACCCGTCACTGAGAGAAAACAGTTTCTCATAGCTCACTGTGGGGTGTAGACTTTCTCCTCCTACATTGGAGAATTGATTCAAGGCTTTCTTTTTCCTTTCTACATTTGAAAGCAGTCCGCCTATCATCCAGTATGTTCTAACCCTGAGTCTCTATATTAGAGACTAATAGGGCTCACATGGATACAGTTGTGTAGACCGAAAAGTCCAGGGTTTGGGGGAAAAAGGTTGTACATGATGTATATATTTTCTGTGGCTGAGAAGTTTTTTTGAGAATCTGTGCAGCTTTGTATAATATAAGCACATAAAACCGAGAAGAGGAATTTTAAGATTTTTGCAGTCTGTGTAAGAGCGTACATCTGGCTTTCTAGTGTACCATGTATGCGCTGTGCAAGGACAGCCGGTTGTCAGTCTTCCTGGGACCTGAGTGTGTCTGCAGAGTGTTGGGCTATTTCTTACGTCACTTTTCAACTAAGGAAGTCATGCTGGCAGGAGGGCCAACCGGTCAGAACCCAGCCTTAACTCCACAGCAAGGCTCTACTTTGAAACAAAAGTTCTTAGCTGGGTGTGGTGATGATTCCTTCATTTTGTAAGTCTCTGAGACCAGTCTGAGGCCAAGCCTGGTCTCCGTCGCAAGTTCTAGCCCAGCCAAGTGAGACACTGTCTCCAAACAAAAATTGGAAAAAAAAAAAAGTTCTTAGAATGTGTCTCCAATTGTATGATCAGGTTTTATTAAAAGTTAATACGCATGTGAGTGATAAACTCATAATTTGTCTCATAATTAGCTGTCATTAGTGAGTTTGTGTTCAGACATACTGGGACCCTGTCTTACAGAACTTTATCAGCAAGTGATTTCCTTTTTGGAAATAAAAGTGTCTTTTGGTTGTATTTTTAGTTTCATTCATGCCTTCGGGCACTTTTTAGGTGGATCACCTTATGTTGAAGCAGTTTAAAATTTATCTCAGTTCTGGGAAAGCGGTAATTAAATCGGAGAGGCAAGAGTTGGCCGTGCTGCCCCATTGATTGAGATGTTTGGCAGAAATCACATCAGGTCAGATCCTGAGAGGGCCATGCAGTTTTTACTTCAGATCTTCTAGGTGCTTAGTATTTTGCCAAAGCATTGGGGTTGTAAGTTGTTGAGTTTTTTTTCTTTTTAAGAGTTGGTATGGAGGAAAGGGAATGCCAGTGGTGTGGGCTAACCTCTAGTTCTCATGGTACGTCAAGATCTCCGGACACGACTTCTGGAAGCTTAGATCAGCACCGTTTTGCACACTTCTGTGTTGCAAACCAAATCTAATATAGTGAACTTGTTTCAGTTGTGGAGCAGGGGTAGGTAACAGTGGTTTGGATGGAGATGTGACCTCATGGTAGAGAGATGTCCACAGAGAGCCACCAAGGTGGCATGCACTCTGCCAAAAGTGGTTTTCCAGTTTCTCTGCCTTGATGCTTTGGTTGAGGCGTCTTTTATGGAGGCGACGTCTCATACCGTTTCTGCCGGATTTAGTGTTAGAGCTGGGGCAATTAACTAGAAACATGGCATCAGTAATGAAATTAAGGGCTGTGGTTCTGCGGAGTTTTGGCAGGGGCCATCAAAACATGTTCTCGTCCTTTGATTTAGTACCTGTCTTGTTAAGAGTTGACGCTAAGGAAATTGGGCGATAATAAAGATTTCTTTCTAGGAGTTAGGCTAGTGAAAATTCTCAAACTGTTCAGCGAATGGGAATTTGCAAAGCAAATCATTAGAATCCCATAGGAATGTTATACAGCCTTTGAAGGGTATGTTTTTTGAAATGTATATTTATCGCAGATTATTTGTGTGTGTGTAATATATATAATAACGGTAGGCAGGTCTGGAAACTAAAAGTCTGAAGGCAGGGTCCCCACAGGCCACTGCTTCCTGGAAAAATCTTAGGGAAGAGCCTGGCTCCAGACATCCTGAGGACTATGTTTTTGTTGAGCAAACAGGAGTTTTCAAGTTTTAATACTTTTTTTAAAAATTTTGAGATTATAATACAATTACATCATTTCCCTTTTCCCTTTCCTCCCTCCGAACTCTCCCATGTAACTCTCCCACCTTGTTTCTCAAGTTCTTTGAAATAACGGTGCATGTAAAACCAAATACAGCTACGACGAATGTAATTGATGGATTACACACAGATCATTGTGAATTGCTTTCTTTGGCATTTCCAAAATGGCTATGTGAGCCTTTTGGCTTTGCCTTCTGGCTTTGAAGATTTCGTCAAATTCTTTTGTGATTCCTGTAGGTGTAGCAAACCATCAGGTTTGGTTTGGCTTAGCTCAGGAGCCTGACTTGGGCAGGGCTCAGGCTTTTGCAGCTCCTCAGGACCCTCATGTCTTTTGTCCCCACCTTTGTCTCTCCTGTCCCCTGGTAGTGATCTTCAGCTGCCCCCCATGCTCTGATACCCCCCTCTCAAGCCAGCATGACGCTGTGCAGCTGGGTCTCATGACACCCCAAATCTGTCCGCCCAGCTCTGACCGCCACAGAAAAGTTCACACTGGACCCTCGAGCTTGTTCTAATATGCCTCTGAGAACCCTTCTGCCCATTCCTTCTTCTGTCCTGGCCCAAGCTGAGCAGGATTCAAGTTGTAGCCTCTGTTTTTGTGCCTCCCGCCGCCCCATCCACGGAGGCCTTGTTTTCCCACGAAGTTCTTTGTTATCTCCGCTTAGCGCTTAGCTTCTGGACCACCCTGCAAAGATATGCATGCTGTCTAATGGGATTCCCAGTGGTCCGACTTCCCCGTGCCAGATCCATGGCCACACACACTCTCTTATAAGTTTAGAATTTGGAATATACATGGCAGCTACCTGCTTAATATTGAGAGTCCTACTAGAGATTTCAAAAGGTCGTGACCCCACCTATTGGGAAACGATCTTTCTCACCTGCAGTACCAATGGCACAGGTGAGTCTATCAGATAGATGTGCTTGCTCATCCCATGGATCTGCTGGGTTCTCGCCATTAGCACCTGGGTTCTCCCGTGAAACTCCCTTTTGACCTGGTCATGGGCTTCCGGAAGTCTTTGCTAGGTGGAAGAGCAGGGAGCTCCCCCTGTTCCCAAACAGTCTGCTCTGTGTGACAGCCACTTTGGAATGTTTGTGTTCAGTTTCATTTGGCACCTTAGTGTCTGCCTGGAGGTGTGGGGGGGAGGGAATGCAAATGTCCCTCTTGAACAGTACTTGCTTGGGTCAAAGAAAAACTTATGGAAGGAATGAGAAGAATGAACCTTAACGGCCAGAGCACAAGTGGCCGGCGTAGTCCAGCCGACTGGAAACTTGGTGAACCAAGTCTTCAAAATAATGCCATGTTAGTAAGATCCTACCCTGGCCAGACCCTGATGGTGCTGGGCTTATAGGAGAATAACGGGTATGACTTTATGAACCCACATCTCCATCTTTAATGTGCACCAGGAGAATATTTTAAACAGCTTCAATGCCGTGTGTGTGTGTGTGTGTGTGTGTGTATGTGTGTGTGTGTATGTGTGTGTCCCGGAAGTGAGGAGGTGAGGGATGCTTGATGTGACCTGGAACTTGAAGCTGACTGAGGGAGGGGTGTGTGCTTGAATTTCTAAGAATAAAATTGCCCACTTGGCAGAACAGAAAACTACCAGAATCATTTCCCCCATGAGAATGTCAGGAATAGTCGTCACTAATATAATATGTAGAGAAACTAGGTCTCTCATTGTGTAGCCTTGACTGGCCTGGAACTTGCTCTGTAGACCTGGCTGGCCTTAAACTCACAGAGATCCTCCTGCCTCTGCCTCCCTGAGTGCTGAGATTAAAGCATAAACCACTATGCCTGGCCAATCACTGACTCCTGCTTGGTTTTTTTTTTTTCTTTTTTTTTCCCCTGTGCTGTTACAGGTTAAGCACTGGACCACCTGTAATCATTTTTTTATTCTTATGAACTAATGTAGAGTGTGCATGTGTGTGTGTGTGTGTGTGCACGCGTGCGCTTGAGACAGTCTTGCTGTGTAGGCCAGGCTGACCCGGCACACCGCATCCTCTCCTGTGCCAGCCTCTTGAGTGCTGGGATTACAGGTGTTTGTCCGTTTTATGGACAGGCAACTGAGGCAGTGTGAAGTGTAGCCTGATTGACCAGGGCCATCGGGTGTGGAC